GGCGGGGAAATGAACTGACACCAGGGGCTCAAGTGGAAAGTGGGTGTTGTAAGAATGATGAAGTCAACATATGTACTAAAGTGCTGGACACAGATGACGTATGTACAGATTGTGATGAGTTGTATGAGCCCCTAATAAAATGATTTTTTTTTTTAAATGGGGCATTCTCCTATGCAGATTAGTATCTCAAGGAAAAAACGTTATGATTCTAAAGCATGTTTTCTCAACCTTGATACACTTCACATTTGGGGCTGCCCAACTGGTGTTGCGGGCAACTGTCATATATGTTGTAGAATGTGTGGTAGCACCTCTGGTACTTCTGGCATCGACACACACTTCCCCTTCTCCCAACTTGACAACCAAAACTCTGACAAATACAGAAATGTGCTAAAAGCACACACATATCAAGTGTGATCTGTGATAATAACTGCGTGCGTGCGACAGGGACAAGGCTGTGCCCGGGAAGAGCAGCGGGGCTAGCATTTACTTTGCTTAGCTGGCATTCCTCTGATCTTTCCTCCTTCTCCAAGGGCACAACTGGGGTAGCTGGGAGGGGGTGGGCGTAACTATGCAAGGGGTGCTGAATCTCTGTTAAGGGCGCTTTTAAACTACAAATGGATAGTGAGTGGGGATGGCTGCACAGTATGGCGAATGGAATCAATGTCACTGAATTATAGATGTGAGAATGGGTGAAATGGCAAAAAATAATAATAATAAAGGAAAGGAAAAACACCAGTATTCCAAGGGATATCCTTATATGAAAAAACGTTTTGTCGTTTACCTGGAATTCAAAAAAGCACAGTCTGTACTTTTGTTAACTAAATTTAAGACATCTCTGTAAAAGACAGAAATACACAAGCTGGAATGTCCCATTAGCGTGCCTGCCCACTTCTACTGTGCTCATCAAAACAAGCTAATAGATCTAACAAAGAAAATACATCGGAGCTTCTCGTTAAACTCCAAGAACACCCGACAGTTTTGTCGGTCACAAATCTGGACAACGTACCATTGGGGTCCTTCCTGAACCGTGTGTTTATGACGGTGGCATGAAGTTTCACAGTGTCCCACTCTTTCAC